TCAAGATCTTTTTTTTTCATAACACTATTAAGATTATTCCCATGAAAATTATATTTATAATTCAAATTATGATATCGAACATGCATTACCTTGCATTTATTATAATTAAAACCCATTTGCAATTATTTTCCCAACTCACCAAATAATTCAAATCCTTCTTTAAGGCAGTAGCGTCCTCCTCACAGCTAGCAAAACCCAAAATTTTAACATCATGAGCAAATTTAAATCATTTATTAAATATTCCTTCATCTATGTCATTGATATAAACCAAAACGAGGAAACGTCCTAACACTGAGCTCTGAGGTACCCCACTCGTTACATTAATTCAATTTGACTGAGCTTCATTTATAACAACCCTCTGCTTTCTTCCACCTAACTAATTTTCTATCCAATGAGCCGAAATACCCACCACATCTACAGGGATAACTTTTAGCAAATTTTTATGTGGTACCTTGTCAAATGCTTTCTGAAAATGCAGATACACCAAATCCACACCTCAACCTTCATCTACGTAAGCAGTAACCTCTTCAAAGAATGTCAAAAAATTAATGAGGCAAAATTTTACCCTAGTGAAACCAGACTTTCAAAAACTTTTCCCACTTATGATATAAAAATAATAGGCCTATAATTACAAATACAATTCTTATCACCAGCATTAACCAACTTCCAATCTTCTGGCACCTGAAAAGTAATAGTTAGTAACTCACATATCAAATCCTTTGCCTCTTTCAAAACCCTTTGGTAAGTATTATATAGTCGAGGTGCTTTATCATTCTTTAAACTTTCCAATTTTGTCTTAATAAGCTCAGAATTAATGCGATCATTTTTTTAACTTCATTAGTAAAAACTGACGAAAAAGACCAGTTTAATAACTCAGCCAATCTATAGTCATCGGATGTTAGCCTTCCGATATCATCTTTCAAAGACCGTACTCCCATCTTAGCATTTTGTTTACCCTTAATTTATATGAGAAAATCCTTACTATTTATTTTTACATTTTAAGCCAACCTTTTGACCAAGTCTATAATCTTCCAAATCTCCATCATTGCAGTGAAATTCAACTTATTATATTAATAATGCTTTTCTTTAACTTTATTCTTCATATCGTTTGTGAGCCAACCCGGTTTGTTACTTGTAGCCACCCATCTTTGTTTATAAGGAGCATGTCTACCTTGAATATTTGGTTTGGTTTGAATTTCACGCGAAGCTACTCGAAGTATATCTGCGCTAGCCGTCCCTAATTTAGCACTAAAGGGAAGTCAGCTAGCTAGTCAACAACTCTTATTGAGCAATGACCACTTGCACCCGGATGTTCCCAAGCCTCTACCCTATCAACCATTTTTCTAAATTCAAATTTAACAATAAATCTAAACTAGCATTGTTCCTAGTAGGTTCCCTAACCAATTATTGAATAATATTATCCTGAATAGTTTCTAAAAGCATGTCTTCCTCACGATTTGACTTAACATTTTCCCATCAGTATGTTTGAAGTAAGATCTCCCATAACTATAACCTCATTAACAGTTTAATTCTTTATCTCACTAAAAGCATGTCTTCCTCACGATTTGACTTAACATTTTCCCATCTATATGTTTGAAGTAAGATCTCCCATAACTATAACCTCATTAACAGTTTAATTCTTTATCTCACTATATAATTTCTTATAAATTTTATCAGTTTCGTCTGATGGTTTATAATAACTTTCAACTGAAAACCTTCTTCTCTTACATCTACAAACAGAAACCCAAATAGATTCAACCTCATTGCTATTAGATTTGAAATTCTTAACTTCAACAGACTGCAACTCACATCATGCATATAAAGCTACTCCTTTTTCTTTCTTTAATACTCTATCCCTATTAAACAGCCTATAATTCTGGAGTTCAAAATGTTTGCATTTAGCCAGAATTCAGTTGTTCCCATTATGTCAAAATCGTCTGTTCCGACTAGTGCTCTAAAGTCATTCATTATATTTCTTGTCCTGTTAACATTACAATAATAAGAGTTTAGCCTACCATAAAAAATTGCCTTTATATCTTGATTCCAAACTATGCCCTTCCCTACATCTTGTTTTGCCTTCATTATTATGGCCCACTCCACTGATTAATCCTAGTTTAAAGTTGCCCTTATAGTTAAGTCAATAGTTTTTGCAAACAATACAATCCCTATTTAAATGTAAACCATCCATTAAAAAAAAAACTTCCTTTTCCCGTGCCCCCCCCCCATTGGCACAGTGGTATGTGGGTTGACTTTCAACGCTAGAAAAAGGGTTTCGATACTCGTGGTGGGCAGAGCACAGATAGCCCATTATGCATTTTTGTGCTTAACTATAAACAAACCCTTTTCCAATTGTCTAATGCCATAAATCCAACCAGCCAGCCTGTTCTTCCTTACGTATTAACCTAAGTCTAATATTCAGCCATAGTGACTTAATACGGTTACCCTTTGAAACCCATACTAGATTTGATTTAGAGCAAACCCACATTGGGCTATCTGCTGTGTCCATCACGGAGGATCAAGCCCTGGATTTTAGCGTTGTAAGTTCGTAAACTTACACCATATTAGATGATAATCCTAACGTTTCTTCTTTTGACCCTATGGTTATGTGACCTGCTCCGGGTACAAGAAGACTAGCTTGCTGGTTCGCCAATTCATGTGAATGATAGAAAAGTCAATTCACATCAAATAATAATAAGTAAGTAAACAGTGAACTAAATAATACTGTGTTATTAATTCTTACTTAAAAATACGACTTGTAAATGACTAAAATAACACTGATAATAATTACAGTACATTTACTTAATCTGGGTAATACCCTAATAACTTTTTTATGAAAATTTATAATATTTATAGCGCCTAGATGACTCTGGATATTGGAATACCCTGGTGGTAAAGAGGTAAGTTTATAGATGTGCAACGCTAAACTTCGAGGTTCAATTCCCCGCGGCAGATAGCTCAGTGTGAATTTGTTCTAAAACAAACATGCTGACATTGGGCGAAAGGCCTCATCGGTACTGGATATGACAGATGTTGTGTGGTTGACATATAACACATTCTCATTTGCTTTCACTCATTGGTTCGTAGTATTAGGTCGTCAAAAAATTAATGTCGCGTTTTGGAACACTTT